AATGCATATAATATATAATTTTTATTTTATTTTCTTTGTAGTTTATCTTACGCGTATGTAAAATATGCGTGTAAGATAAAACACATATATAGGCACATATATATGAATGTATTATATGTGTGTGTATAAGACTATTTAATATCGATTAATAATTATTACTATTTTTATTATTATAATAATAATATATATGCGAATATATTCTTATAATCCAAAAGAAATGAAGAGTAGCTGTGATATCAATCGGTGTATTGGGTATAATCGTTTCGTTATTATTAATTTCGGGAACCACGGTACAAAAAGGAATTTCATCCTCTTCAATAATTACATTTATCAACATTCAATCTCTGGCAATATATCAATTTTACAGGTAATAGGGTTTTGCAAAGTTCTAAATGATGATATTGTACGAGAGTCGATTTAATGTGTTTCTGCAAAAAGTGTATTATTAAATGCCTCTTGTTTTGTTTATTTCTTTTTTTCTTCCTTTTGTTTTCTAGAATAATATAAAAATGCATTTCTCTCGACAAGTTGAACGATACTTAACAGTATTTTACTATGGCTAACACATCATTTAATTAAAAATACAAATTGTATATTGTACTATAGTTTTATTTAATTACTAAGCCATACTCGTGTATATAAGTGTATATTTATACACATACGCTCTTATTATTGAAATTTTCAAAACTATTGTAATAAAATACATCTTACGATTAAATAAAATGAAACATAATATAATGAGAACCCATTTTCCAAATATAATTTTACAAATAATTTTTATTTTATTCTACACATTCACTAACGAAATTAATTTTAGTATATTTTTCTGAAAGTATTTTATGCGATGCACGGAAATTGTACAGGCTTATCTCGGGATGTTTTTCCAATAGATATTTATAAGCAGTTGCTATTTTATCAATATCTTCCACAGTTAGTTCCATCGGTCTTATCATTGGATCTAGGTCGCTCAATTTATATACCAAATTAGAAAGTTCTTCTCTACAATACTCTGGAAAAAGTCTTCTGCAAGAGACAATAGTATTATCATCATTTTTTTAGAATTAATTAGAATATTGCTTAAGTATATAAAAAAATATACTGATGTATAAAACTTACGCGACACATTTAATACTGTACTTTTGTCGAGAGCTAAAAATGGTTCTTGTTACTTTTTCAAAAAAATGGAATTTGTGCATCGTACGTGGTGATTTTAATGGTTCAAAGGTTACAACTCCTACGTCGACATCAGGTTTTGGAAGAAAAGCTTTTCCTTTGAATATAAATTAAAGAAATGAGAAATTACATTATTTTACATGAAAGAAATCAAATTGGAAATATTATATTGTAATTAATTTACCTGGAACAATTAAACGGAAATTAGGTTGTGTCCATGCTTGTGCCATTACCGATAATCTACAGCGTTGATCTTCACATGGTTTAGCTACCAAACGTTCCGCTACTTCTTTTTGAAATGTTAATAACATTTTCACCCTACCGTATGACCATGGACCACTTTGTTCAGATATTTTTTTAAGCCATTCAATTATTAAAATAGTTGAAACATTAAACGGTAAATTACCAATTAAATGAATATTTGGAACTTCATCCATCCATTCCTTCTTCTCTTCCATAGGAAACATATTGCCCATATTTATATTTCTTATATCCTCGTAAATAATATCCATTTCACCATTTGAATAATTATAAGCATCCGCTAACATATCTAATATTGGTTTAAATCTTGGATCTTTTTCAATGACTATTAACTTTTTAGGATTTTTACGTATTATAGATCTGGTCAATCCACCTGGACCAGGACCAACCTCGACTACGTGACTTTCCGAAAGATTTCCAGCTTTTTTAATTATTTTATCAATAAGTCTTTCATCCAGTAGAAAATTTTGCGACAGATGTTTCAAGGCGGATAATTTATATAATTTGATGACATCTTTTATAGTTGGGAGAGGAGGTAGCCTTAGTTTCAACATTTTTCTGTACAACGTTTCTTTTAATTGTATTTTTATAAGATGATTCTCTACAGACAGTTCAATGTTAAGTATATATTCAAATAGTAACAATTATTTTATCAAATCAAAATAGCTGTATGCGTATAGATATACATGTATATATATATATATATACTTATCGAATCAAAAGACTTTATTTAAGAATAATTTATGAGGTGGTTTTAGGAGGTATGATTTCTTTCTCAGGTTCCTTAAAATCATCTAAGAACTTTTCTTGCTTCACCGTATATATAGTATAAATATAAATTGATAAAACAGCAATTCCTAATAAACCACCAAGTGTGTTATTCGATCGTCTTAGTTTGATCAATTGCTTAACTCTCTCAGCGTTCTTTTTCTCTATTTCTTGCATTAGTAAAATATTATTGGGGTTTATTTTATCGTTGTCTGTCGTCCAGTTCACTTTAGGCATCTGATCCTTGTCCATGATATGAATAGCTTAATATAGAATATATAATATGCATTTTAAAACACGACATTTGATTATTTGTAGTATTATCAAATTTATATATTAATAATATTTTTGCAGGAAAAAGCTATCAATTATTTTCTTTCCACCAAATTGATTAAACGTTATTTATAATTTATATTGTAATTACATGTTACATAACACTTATTACACAACTGTTACTACAATGAATGTAAATTTATCATTGATAAAAAAATAAAAAGATCAAATTAAATTTGCTATAAATGAAAATAAGGTTAGCTGGTAAGACTTAATTGTAAAAACTTACGATGAGATGTTTATTACATCAACGCTTTTATTCTGATAACACAATCGAAATATTATACATTAGTATATTAATATATGCTTTCTCTATTATATTTTTTTCGATTTTAGAAATACTTATTCAACTTGTGAAATCAGTCCGGTAGATATTAATACTACTATCTTAAACACGTGTGTTGTACTGCACACTATCCAACAAAATGACAAGGATAACCAATGTTTTTTATACTGATAATATATATTACCGACAATCGATAAGCTTTCTTGTTACGATGCTTTCAGTCGGTATTACAGATTCCTAGGAATTTAAATACTTTTATAGTAAATTTTAATTTTGTCAAATCACACTATAAATCGCTAAAAAAAATATTATATTATAAACAAAAAAAATCTTGCTATTTATTAAAATATAAAAAATTTCGAGAATCAATACGAAGTCATATAATCATAAATCAATTAGAATTTCAATCATTCAATTATCAATGCTACGTATATTTCCTTTGAATGAAGATGAATCGTTTCGTAGGTAATATTCAGATATTTCCGTATATGAAGAAAATTCTCATATTTCCTTGAATACCAACCGTGCTTGATAGCTTTGGTAAATGCTTTGACGTTATCGATTGAATATTCGCATCGTAGATATTTCATTCACGTACACAAGCATACATATATGTAAATATTACTTGCATATTTATGAGTATACCAGATGTATTTCAATGCTTGTGGAATTTTCATAAAACGATTAAGCGAAAGAAAGAAACAAAGAAAAACATAAAAAGTTAAACTTTAGTATTAATCTTCTTTTAATCGAATATCAACGTTAAAAAATTTGTAATTAATTAAAAAAAAAAAAACCAAAAAAAAGAAACAAAGAAAAGAAAAGAACAACGCAGAGTTATACAAGCTAACAAATACAAACAAAAAACAGATAAAACAACAATTTGCACAACTCGAAGCAAATAAGTTATCGTCGGTTAAAATTTAAATTACTAAAGCCAATAACTCGCGTTAACTTTTATTACGATGAAAAAGAGTAATTAAATACATAAAGAGTGGGTTTATAATTCTTGGATAATATAAAAAAAAAAAAACAGAAAAACAAACTTAATTATTCCTTTATACCGAACTATTATTTTAGCTTAATTTTATTTGTTTCAGATTGTTAAATTAGAAGTCGAAAAACTTTTGACCCACCCCATGCAACACGTACACATAGATAAATATACCGAGTAGTATATACACTATGAAAAGAAAGTCAAGGAACACGTATATAAAAGAGGTTCGTCGTTGGTTTGGAGTGACGTCAGTTTTGAAACTACGCAAACAGGCCTGAAATAAGTTCTCCGAATGAACACTCCCTTATATTTACAGTATGATTTACGCAATATTCTATCATTTTTCTCTCTCTCTCACTCTCTCTCTCTCTTTCTTTCTTTCTTTCTTTCCTTCTTTTTTCTTCTATTTCTGCGTTGTTCGACATAAAGTTGAAAAGGTATACAATTATAAATGTTTTCATTGAAACTTGTAATACTGTCTTTTGTTGAATAGAACGTAGCTGTCGACAACAGTTTTCTTACGTTCTGACGATAACGATGATAATTATGAGAAAGATTATCCTTCTTGAATATAAAGAAAATATAATATTATAGATTTTTTTTTCTTTTTTTTTTTTTTTAGACAAAATAACGTTCGTTGTATCGTCCTTGTCATTGTCGTCATTATTCTCATTTTCCTTAACTTCGCAAATCTGCGTTCTCTATCAAACTTGTACTACAATGCACACACAGTAGCGTATTCTACAAACTAGCTTCACTGATTTCAATTTGATTAACTTAACTACGGTTCCGACGAAGACGTCGAATTATTTGACTTCTTTGTAACCTAAAATTTCTCCTGTGCTTTGAAATTTTCTAAATGGAATCCTGATCTATGCGAGGAATTTTCTTCTAAGAATTATCATTTGTTATATCTAAATTTATTCGTATAAACTTTTTCCTTTTTATTATATTTTATTAATTTTCGTTACACACACACACACGAGTAAAAGTAGAGTTCTACGGGATTCATTAAAAGTTAAAGTTAAAACAGCCGAAAAAAGGGAACAATTTTTCTTTCTTGAGGCTTCCTCTGAGAAATCATGGAAGTGCCGTTGAATTTCATAGGACTCAAGACGATATTTTTTATTTATGAGGACAGTTAAGGTCCGTAACAGTAGGATAAAGCCTCAAGCAATATCTATGATAATGTTCGATCGTGTCACACGCGATTCTACGCTAAAATGCTGATAAACCATAAAATGCCGTTGGGCTATATTCTTTGTTGTCTCGATGATGAAAGAATCGAAAGGACCAAAGAGTATGCATAAGAAAAAAAAAAAAAAAAGAAAAAAAACAAGGAAAAGGAAGGAAACCCCGACAGGTTCGATTTCTGATAACACCGATTGCGATAGGAATGAAGTTTTTTTTCTCTTATCTTCTTTTCTTATGAGATTGTACCAAACACGTGTATATGAGTATGTGTGTGGGAAGAGTGAAAAAAAAAAAAATAGAAAGAGAGAGAGAGAGAAAGTACGAAAGCTTTATCTGCATTTTTCTCCCTCTTTTCTTTTTTTTTTTTTATTGTCGATAACTTATCAACAGTGCTATCACATAATTCTTCTTTTTTTCGATGTTACAATTTTTAAAGCTTTTTCTTCCCTTCCTGTCTTTTTTCTTCTTTCTTTTTTTGTGCTGATAAAAAAGAAGAGAAGGGAAGAAAGAAAAAAAAAGGAAAGACTATATCGTTTTATTTACGAAGCTATTGCAAATCTCTCTCTCTCTCTCTTTCTCTTTCTCTCTCTCTCGAATTTCTTTGTTTCGAAAACGAATCTGATCGTTTGTCAAAGACGGTACACGTGATATGAGATTAAGTTCGAAATCCTACATCCAGAATCATTTGGAGAATACGAGTATTTATTTTCTTCTTTCTTGACACTTCTTCCTATTTCAAAAGAATATCTCTTTTCCATATAGAATACCGAACACAAATCGATAGAATCGGTAATAAATTATTTTCAAGTAAATTAATCTCTCTTTCCTTTTTTGTTTTGTTTTGTTTTTTTTTTTGGAGAGAAAAAAAGAAAGATACACATAATAGTTTTTAATCTTGTTTGATGGTTCGCGAGAAAGAAATACATTTTCTTGTAACAACTCAATTTGTATTTCTCTTTCCAATTTTATGATTTTTATTTGACACGATTTTTAAAATTGAATATGAATTTTTATTGGAAAACGAAGACAAATGATTTAGTTTTTTCTTTTTCTTTTTATTTCTAATAAGATGAGAAATTTCAAATCGTAAAGTAATTCTAATCGAAAAACAAGGATGAATGTTTTAATAAGGAATACAATTTTTCATAGTTTTTCAAAGTTTTGTAATCGTGAGGATAATTATGAAATAAAAAAAAGAAACTTGGGGAAGAATTCGTAATTGACCGTTGATATTTTCTTTCGTGTGGATAAATTCACGTAGATTATTATTATTATTATTATTATTATTATTATTATTACATTAGTGAGGCAGAAACGTTGGGAATGATTTGCGCGAGTAATACGTCGCAATCGTTAGAAAGTGTGCTCCATGAATTATTAATAAATTGCAACGAGACTCTCTCATGCATAAGGTAATCCCGAGCTTTACAAAAAGCCTTGACGGTCTTTTCGTTCTTGAGAAAACACGATAATGGCCGAAAAGAATCGTTCGAAGTTCGAGATAAATAATTCTTTCAATCCTTTTTCCTTTTTCTTTTTCTTTTTCTTTCTTTTCTTTTATAAATTTGGACACCATTTTGGTATCTTTTTATTCAACGTTTCATATTTGTTGAAATGTAATTAAATTTTCTAGAATATTTAAAAAAAAATTGATTAATTTTTACAAGGATATTATTTTGAAATACTAGAACTTATTCGTTTGTAATAAATTACAGAGAAAATATAAAAGAATGCTAAATTTTGAATAATTTTCGATGTTATTATTAAAAACGAAGCATTATTCGTTCTATCAAACGAATGAAAAAATATTCTAACAAACGGCACACACATGGCAATTATAAATTTGTTTTATATTTAGAGATTAACGATCCATCATTCAGCTTTTCAACTACGATCACATGGGACTGTAACGTATTTCTTGGAGTTAGGAAATTCTGTGTTAACGAGCGTAATCCGTTCTTTTGACATGAGTAACATAGAACACGATGACGTAGTTTCGATCGATTATGCGACTAGGAGACTTTTAAAGTAATTTTACAAAAAATACTGATTTATGTCAATTTAACAAAATGATCATAAAATTGCCACAGATCAAGTATTATTAATCATATTTTGTCATGTAATTGTAAATATTCTTTACATTAATTTTGTTCAAACCAGTCTTTGTAATTATTTTTGTCTCGCAATATTTTATTGATAATATCGATATTCTCTTTATAGCAAAAAATTATTATTAATTATATTTCTACTGAATAATTTATTTTTATACCTTTCTTTTTTTTTTCTTTGACAGAAATATTTTATCAAGGAAATAAATTTTTGGTATCACATTATTAAATCAAATATCTCTAATAGAATAATTTTCGTTACAAAAAATTTGATTTCTCACACAAATAATTAATTGATAATAATTAATATATAAATTAATAATATTCCAAACCACTCAATTTA